GGCCTTCCAGAATGATGGGGTTCATCAGGCCTGAGGCTTTCAGACTCCGGCTTCTGTCTCCAGGGGATCCCATTCCCTGAACTGGTAACCGGAGAGTGGAGACACTTATCTCAGGGAGAGCTGGAGACCCCGTGACACCACAGCTAGCTTCTGTGTCTTGTCCTCTTGGGAAATTACAACCTGGAAGAGCACCATGGAACCATCTCCTACCCTCTGAATTTATACCCCTGACTGGCACTTTCCCCCCTTCTGTTTCATTCATTTCTGTTCTCATCTTTAGTAATGCTTTCCTTCTGCTGCCATTGGGATCATTTTGTTGTTATTTTTCTAAGTTCACTGTCCTTGAACTAAACCCAACAACAACTAACTGACAAATCTACAACCATAATGAGTAACTTCGAAACAACTTTCTCAGGAACTGGCAGAGCAAGCCAGACAATGCAACATAGAAAGAGCACTTGGAAGATTTAAATATGTCTGTTAATAAGCTTGAAAATATGCATATGAAATTTTGAACCCCCCCCCCCCCCGTCCTCCCCTCAAAAAACACATTTTCTTACCAAACTCTTGTGGAACACTTAAAAATATTAACCATTTATTAGCCCACAAAGAAAATTTCAACAAATTCCTAAAATTAGGTAACATACAGGCCAACAAGAAAATCTATCCAGTCTCTAATTAAAAAAACAAAAAACCTCCAACTCTTAAATATCTTAGATAAAAAATAAAATGCAAAACTATGAATGCGATACCTTTTCATAGCTCTAAAGATATTAATTATAATTTGGAAGTGTCAGTCTGTTTTCTGCATTGTTTTTATTTCCTTTGAGTTACTTTTATTGGTTTGCTTAGTTGAATCTCTTTCATATTAGTCTTTTCTGGCCACGTGTTCCTGTGTAAGAGTAAGGCTCTGAAAGGGTCATTCAGTGTTGATTGCACATTTCAGGGTTTACTGATTAGTGAACTTCATTTTGTGGTGAGAGAGCTCTTTTATTGGGAGACCTACCCCTCCTGCCAGATGTCAGTATTTTGTCTTGGGCAAGTTTCTTTTCCCGAAAAGAAACCTTCCAATCTTTTCACTGATGATTAGATTAGCTGCTGCCATCATTCTTTGCAGGAATGATGGTTCCCAAGGCATTCTCTATTCTTCATTGCTCCAGGTCCTATGTTCATGTAGTTTAGAAAGTATTTCCAAGTTTTATCTTGAAAGCAGAATCCACTGGAAGAGAGACACCGCCTAGGGTGATGATGTCAAGTAGTGGAGGTGGAACTCCTTTCCTCCATCACCAAGGTGAGGATTAAAGGACGCAGGGCTCTCATATTAGTGGCCGAGTTGGGGTTAATTCTGCTATAGATCCTCTGCTTGTCTGAAGCCAAGTGCTTTCTGTGTTCCAGAAATGACTCAGATTTTCCATCTCAGGGTGGTTCGCTTCCTTGTTCTTAAGTGCTGTTATGGTTTTAATCTTGATTCAGTCACTTTGGTGAGGTTTTTGGAGGCTGTGTGGTAAATTCACATATTCAGTTCCTCATTTTGAGTCGTGAGTCCAAATTATTTTATGAGGACAATTTATAGCCTTTCCCCAGCGTCCTGTTTTGGCTCCCTTCTAAGGAAGTGGAACATCTTTCTTAGGCTCTCCGGTTGTCTCGAGTATGTGAATTTCTCCTTCAGCAGGGGCTCCATATTAAACTGAATTTATGGAAGAGCATTCCAGGTATTTACCAGGATGGATAAAACCTGGATTTATAACTCTTCTACCTTTAAAAGTTGTGACCTAAGTGTAGCAGAGTCTATGGAACCTTCTCTGCTGATCCTCTACTCTGAGAGTTTCCCCAGACAATAAACAGACCAGGAGGGCTGACTGGGAAGCATATCCATTCCTGTAGAGCCAGAGGTATTGAATCAGGTATGGCGCGATGCTTGCTGCTTATGCGGAGGGAACATGGACAGGAATCACCTTATGAACTCTTCAGTGTTTAGAATAACACAGCTCTTTGCAGTACATGTTGAAGACCCAGGGGATGCATTTCCTTCAGGAATAGACTTTTTCTGACTTCGTAGTCAGTGAAGATTTAAGGGTACTACTTTTTTCTCTCAAAGTAGCTAAATACATAAAACACATTTTAGGGCCCACCCTAAGCACCTACAGTGCTTCAGAGCCTTCAAAATAACGTACTTTTTGTTCTAACATTTCTCCACAATCAAGTGAGTTTTCTTAATTTGTTTTCTCTGTCCCTAAAAACAAGTTTTTGCCAAGTTTACATGCATTTTTATTGTTATTACTTTGTATGTTTCTTTGACTGAAGATAATACCTAATAAATGATTTTTCTTTCTCTTCTGCAATGTCTAACACAGTGCTTTGCCCAAAGAAGGAACTTTCTATGGGACTGAATAGATTCTTTATGATAATCTAGAGATGAGGAAGATGAGGCATAAAGTGTTTCTGAGAGAAAGGGGCTGCTGGCGTAACTCAGCACTTGGTATCCTTCATGTCAGATTCATTCTTATCAACTATGAGAATGAAAATCTAAAATTGAGGTGAAGGCAAAGGTGACTCTAAAAGTGCTCAGGAATTGCAGCATTCAAAACATGGTGTTTCAGCTCTCCATCCTGCTCAAGAACCTAAAAAGAACTCAACTGTTTTTTGGTATGGAACTAATATCCAGGTTTAACCTCTGGATGGACCAATGGTGGTTACTGAGCTGGGTCCTTATACTCTCTTGCTAGTCTTTTGTGATGCTGTCTTAAAACTGTCTATAGAAGAAGTTCTTAAACTTTTCTGGGTCATTGGTACCTGATTAAACCCACGGACTCTCTAGCCAGAAAAATGCACATGCACACAAAATTTTAACGGTTTTAGCAGGTTCATGTATTGCCTGCAGGCATCCAAGGAACTGAGGCTAAGAAGCACTGGGATTTGACAATTGTTTCTGACATTAATGCTTAGGCTATTTATCAAAACTTGGAATAAACTAGTTATTTCATTTTATGCCTTCCTTAATTAGGGAGAGATCTGTGAGGAAATTTTTTTTTCCATATCGAAGCTGTTAAATATAGGCGTACCTTGGATACATTGTAGGTTTTGTTCTAGACCATGGTGGCAATAAAGCAAGTATCACAATAAAGCGAGTTCTAATCTTTTTGCTGGTGGAGGGTCTTGCCTTCAATTTGTAAAAAAAATGCACCTGTGATACGGAATAAGCAAAGTGCAATACAAAGAAGTATGCATGTACACAAAGCTGACAACGATAATGTAAGATTCCTGAGAATACAGGAAGGGTTAGAAGTCAATGAATAGGGCATGTGATTCACCTGAGACTAGAGGCACAGTTCTTCCACACACAGGTAAAGCGTGGTCCCTGATCAGCAACATCCACATCAGCTAGCAACTTGATAGAAATGAAAAATTTGGGCCCCATACAGATCTACAGATTCACAACTGTGGGTAAAGCCCAGAAATGTTTTAACAAGCACTGCAGGTGATTCTGATGCTCAAGTTTGAGAATCACTGCATCAAATTGAATGGAAGGAAGACGGGAGCTGGTGCTAACGTGTCTGGCGGTTGGAATTTGAGGGTGTGGAGCTTTGAAGTCATAAGCAATCAACTCAAGATCAGAGGATCTAGTCTGTTTCGTCAGGTACAAGAAGGAAGATAATCTGGCCTTCTCTTTTCTAAAGGGTGAGGCACCCGAGGAGCAGGCTTCTGAGCCCTTCGTTACTCAGACTATGTTGCCACGTCTACCTGAGCTCCAGAGGGCATCAGAAAGAAAAAGGATGGAAGGAAGCGGAGGGCAGTATGAAATGACGAGGACCCAGCGTTCCAGAGTCCCCATCGATGCAACCACTGCTCAGGTGAGTTCCCTCTATCCATTCAAAACCCCAGTCCCCACGCCCAGTGAGGGTCAACTAACGGTCCGTCACAGCCGCCTACTTCCGGGCCTCGGCCAATAAGGAACCCAAACGGCTCAGCCAGTCAGCGCCCTGCGCTGCTTCCGGCGTTCGGCGTGCTGCCGTGGAGACGGAATGGGCGAATTCAAACGCGGGGGGTGCTGAACTCGCAAAGGCCAGACACAGACGCTGTGAGTTCCGCCTTTCTGCAGCACTTCCTGCCCCGGTCTGGGGTCGTTGGACTTGTCCTAAGTCTGGGCGCGAGGCCGTTTGAATTGTGGGCGCTACCCTGGCACTCTCACTTCCAGGCCCCAACCAATAAGAACCGACACTGCTCAGCCAGTCAGCGCCCTGCGCTCTCCCCGGCGTTCTGCGTGCTGCCCGGGAGACGGGCTGGGCGAATCCAAACACCGAGGGGCGCTGGACCCGAAAGGCTTGACGCTGCGTCTGCGCTTCCCTCCTTGCTCAATTTCTTCGCCCCCGGCCTTTGGCCGCTGGATCCGTCCCGGGGGTGCGGAGACCCGCGTCTAGTGGACCCGCTGCTTCTCCCCACCCAGCCAACAGGTGAGTGGCAGTGGCAGTTTTAGGGGCACGAACGTGGGTTCACGCCTCCCTCAGCTGGCGCTATAGAGACTGCGGGCCTGGAGGGGCGCTGGCCACTCTTTTTCCCGCTCCCGCCCTCGTTCGGCCCGTGGATTCTGTGCCCCACGCGCCCCTCTTCGCCTCCCTGACAGCTCTGCGTTGCGGTCTTGTTAAACTAAAGACCCTACACAGCTTTCTTGGGGCTTAGGTTCAGGGCACAAGGGACACCTCTTCTAGGACCTGGGTGCAGGGGGCATTCGAGGCGCTCGGGCTCCAGGGTTCGGGAGAGGCGCTTTATGGACGCCCAAGATTCGGAGTTTTTACTTATTAAAGCCTCGGCGGCGCTTCTCGGGTTCTAAAGCTGGCCTCGCTGACTGATGTCAGTGGACGGAGGGGGCGGTGAAAGCCGGCGGTTCGCTGGCCACGAGCGACTGAGGCTGCACTTTCGAGGTCAGGCCAAGCTGAAAGCCTGCTGTTAATTCTGTCAAGTGCTGCCAGGAGGAGCACCTGTTGAGCGTTTAGCATCGTGCCATGCCCCCTTTTATGTCCTCGTGGAAGGGTGACTTCGCAGAGTTGAGCGTGCATCCCGGGGGGGTGAGTTAAAACAGATTGTGGGGCGCCACTTCCAGAGTTAACGATTCCATAGGTCTGGGCTGGGGGCCGAGAATGTGCTGGGTCTATCAAGTTTCCAGGTGTTGCTGATGCTGCTAGTGAGGGAGCGAATGATAGGAACGTGGGGATGATTGAGAGAGAGTCCCAGTCTTGACTTGCATGCCCCTATCACCTGGCCTGTTTCACCGCTTGTTGAATGCTAGCACCTGCCCCCTGAATCTTAACTGCCTCGTTTGCTTGTACGAGTAGGTGTGATTTGTTCTGACTTTTGGCTTCTCAGATGATATACATAGGTAAACTTGTAGATTAAGAGATTTGAAAGGCGCGCCACGCTTTTAGAAAATGTGGAAGACTGAACTGTGTCTGGGAATACACACCCCGGTGAGAAAACGATGACGAAACGCAAGGAAGTAATAACTGTGCAAGTCAGAAGCGTGATTACGTTTGGGGAGTAGGATTACTTTTGGGGAGTAAGGGGAGTTGTGACTGCGACAGGCTCCTGGAGGGGTTTCTGGGGTGGCTGGCAAAGTGCTATTCCTGACCTGGGTGGTGATTATGAGGTGTCCCTCTTATAATAATTCATTAAACTATACATTTATTTTGTGGGGTTTTCTGCATTTGTATTTTATTTTACAATTTAAAAGTTTATTTTACAAATTTTAGAAAATTCATATTGGGACATCTAAGGTGAGGAATGTCTGTGGATTGAGTCAGCAAGAATCCTAAAGTCATGGAATTTCAAATTTGAAAGATAATTTAGAAGATCACCTTGTTTTCAAGGAATCAGTTATTAGTTTTACATAAAAACCTAATTTCAGCATCTTATCTTGATATATCCTCATGTAGCCAATTTGTGAACATTTAATTAAGGTCTCTTTTTTTCTGGTTTAATAGCTTCTCCATTTTAACATTATTGATTTAATTCTCATTTTGATTATATTACATATTGTGTATTGTTGACCTCTTGCCACATAATTATTCCTGTTTAGGCTGTAGTTGGGTGGGTCAGGAGGAGTCAGGATTGCTTCTTTTTAATGAATGGGTTTAGGGAGGAGAGGAAGGTAAAAGGAACTCAGTAAAACTGTTTATTTAAAAAAATAGATACTGTCTTTTTTTTTTGTTTGTTTCAATTCAGTATTCTCCCATATCTTTTCTACTTAGAATTTAAAAAAAATTACTGTCGATTAGTCCAATTTCTTCTAATTTGGTCTTGATACGTCCCGGGTTTATAATCCAAATAACTAAATGTAATTACTTTTTATAATCCAGATAACAAAATGTAATTACTAGCCTGTACATTTTTATAGAATTTCCCCCCATTTTACAGTAAGTTTTAATTTTATTGGAAGATGGAATCATATAATTCATTATTTCTAGATTCTTAGATTACTGATTCCCTGTAATGGGACAGGTCAGCAAACTACTGTCTATCGGCCAAATCTGGCTCTTTGCCTGTTTTTGTATGGAATACAACTGAAGATGAATAAGATCTAATGTACATCATAATGATCAGAGTCAACAAGAATGTATTATGTACTTCAAAGTGACCATGAGACTAGATCTTAAATGTTCTCACCATAAAAAAGGAATGATAATTATGTGATGTGAGAGTGGTGTTGACTAATGCTATGGTGGTAATCATATTACAGTATATAAATGTATCAAATCAACACCTTGAACATATACAATGTTACATGTCAATCACATCTCAGTAAATAATTGAGATACAATTCACATACTATAAAATTCACCCCTTTCACCATTTAGTGGCTTTTAGTGTATTCACAAAGTTGTACAACCATCAGCATTATTCAATTCCAGACCATTTTCATCTGCCCCCAAAGAAATCCCATACCCATTAACTCATTGCTTTTTTATGTTCTCTGTTTCTAAGGGATTTTGTTAGGGGCTCTGACTTAAACATAAGCTGTTTTTAAAGGTG